GCCAGCACGTCTGCCTACTCTGGGTAGCATCAGAAACTCTGCTGAAAAATTAAACAAACATAGTTCTTGGCATCTAAACATATGGGAAAGGACATGTTGACTCCCAAGTCTTTAGCTGAGGAGGTAGTCTGTTTCTCATTGTTACCACTGTGCAGTGAGGAATTGCAAAACACCCACATAGATTTTCAGACCTGCTAGCTGCACTTAACCTTTAATCCTGCAAGTACTCAGCCATAAGCATATAATTTTAAATGTCTGAGTAGTCCGACTGACTCCAATGGGAATACACGCTGAATGAAGTTAAATATTTGCATAAATGTTTTCAGGATCAGGATCTTTCAGTACAAACAGAATTCTAGCACCACAAACACATACTGGGCTTGGGCTGAGTTAAGCTTTCAAGACATTGGTACACCTATATCCTCTACAGATGTATTTTAAATTTCATGTTAATGTGTGATTTCTATGTTATAAAACACCTTACTTTAGGCTAATAAGTAACCTTTCTTACGAGAGAGGAAAAATTATTTACTTTGTGACATAACTGCATAGGTTTGAAAGAATGTTATATGAACTGGATCCCCTACGTTTTAGCTTCCATGTATCAAAGAGGTTGTGACATCATATTCGGTTATATTTTTGCTTTTTAAAGTCTTTTAAAGCTATTTTCTGTGTTTTAGACCTGGTCTGAAAATCCCCCTTCCTGTTTTTGCAAGGGCAAGATTGCTACCGTGAGTAACAGACTGACTCATTTATTCCTGAAGGTGAGGACTGCTTTCCATTCATACTTCAGAGGGATTTGTTCACCTTTGACTAGATCATATAGCTCCAGAAAAGGATGAGCAACTTTTGTGTTGTCTAAACGAGTCTGGTCATGGTTGTGGCTGGTTTTATACTCTCTCTCTTATGAGTTCGGTGATGTTCCCTCTGGTTTACATCCCAGCTAACTAGATCAGAATTTTGTCCCTCATATCGAGGTGTCTGCATTGCAGATCAAAGGCAAAGTTTTGATGATTCCTTCTGCAATTTTCACTCCTATTTGTACTCTCACATGCTTGATCTCTCTTTTGTTTAAAGGGCTGTGCTTGATACAGAAGCATTTATATTCTGTGAATCATTCTAGAAATGCTGCTTTTAAAATATGCTAATATTATCTTTTGAAATGCACTGGGAAAATAATTTAAAAATATCTTACATTTTTCTTGAATTCCTTCCTTTAATTGAAGTGCATTTATTTTTCAGTTTTTCTTTGCTGACTAAACATGTTAGGACTTTTGAGGTAAAGAGATATCTGTATGCAAATGCGTTGTAATAGAACAGGCAGCTTTTCCTAGAGTTAAATCAACGTAACATTTTCCATTCTAAACGTCTGTGTTTTCTGTGGTCTCTGAAATATAAATGATTCAGGATGAAATCTGCCGGATTGGGACTTTGTCCAAATGTGAATAATTTGGAAAGACTTGAACAAAACTGGTTCAGCCAGTTCAGAATATCAGTAGAGTGGAAAAAAAAAATTAAAAATCTTGATCTAAATAGACTCTTACAACCTTTTTTGAGCATTTCTGTAACTTTATCAGCCGAAGGCTGAAAAATGAACTCTGACATGGAAGTAGCCTTCCTTGAAGTAGGCATGTATTTTCTTGTTTGAGAAGAAGTTAGTTTTGATTTCACTGAGTTATAAACCTTTGAGAACTGTGATTGAGCATGTGCACTGGATTATTTGGATAAGCTTTTGAGGTGTGCAGCTATGGAAGAATTTTCTATACATGCATGGCTGGCTAATTTTGCTGGAAAGGGAAAAATCTATCTAAGCACATGCTAAAATCAGTGAAAATACCTGCAGCTGCAGGGAGACCTTTGAAGACCATCCCAAGATATTTAAGACGATGAAAAGGGCAAGAAAAGTTCCTGTAGGCTTTGCAAGATGTTTAAAGACTTAGTGGTCTGCAGATTTTGTAAAGTTAAATGGGATTATGGCTTCACTTAGCACACAAAAGTGTATGATGTTTTCTGTGGAGACATATGTCGTGCAAAGCACCCTTTCCCTCAGCAGATCTGCCCAGTGAAGGAATCCCCCAGCAGCATGGAAGCTGCTTCTCCTCTCATTGTAGAGCTCAATAAGCAGCAGTTTATTAGAATGTACCCAAGTTTGGGTGGCTGAGTGCTATGATTTATATAGAGAACCTTCCCAATGGAAATTTAGCCTTGGAGTGAAGTGTGTGTATGTGTATATGTGTGTATGTGCATGTGTCTTTTTAGATGCAGGCACAGTCTGTGATTTTGCAGGAACTGCTCTCACTTGCATCAAACACATTCTGGATAAATCAAAAACTCTCATCTAGAACATCTGTGTGTCTCCTGGCAGCCCATACTCTCCAGTGTACGTTGCTTCAAATAAATGCTAGCTATTTGATTCCAAAACTTTTACTTTGCCCAAACTGGGGTGTCTGTCTCCAACTCCCTCCAAAACTAAATTCATAATGTTCGGTTTATTGAAAGATTCATTTGCTCTGAAGAAATCTATCTCTTTGTTTTACACTCCCTGAATAGATACTTATTTGGGATCCCTTCCTTTGTCTTTTTACCCATACTATCTCTCCAGCAGCTCTCTGGCAGGTGGAAAAGTATGCAGTTATTCCCTGAAATCTCTTCATGCCAGACAACTTCTGCCCAGGCAGTGCCTACACTGACACAATTCACCTTCCTTGAAAAGACTGTCAGTGGAGTGACTGTGCAGGTGAGCAGGTGAGTTTTTGATGCCATTTCTTCTAGCTGCCGGATCTTTTCCTACTTATGAAACAGAATTTATTCCAGACCCCCTGGCTACCTCCTGGCCCAGCCTGGTGAGCAGTCTGCTACAGAGGCTCTGTAGCCACAGAGCTCTGTGTGGCTGGACTGGCGGAGGCCTGACATTGGTATGGACACAAGGAGAAATGTGGGGTACAGTCAGAAGGCGTGGGAGTAAAGCATCTATTGATAAAACACAGTGAGATGACAGAGAAAAAACAAACAAAAAACATTTCAAACCCAGGAATGTTCTCCTTTGAATGGATATTATGCCTCTGAAATAGATGTGCTCTTTAATTGTTAGAGAATGTGTCTCTTGCTAGTTTTGTGTTCTCATTTCTTGATGTCTCACAGTGGGATGAGATAGCAGCAAATGCTGAACAACAGGAAACTCATCGGCATGGAATAACAGCAGCATGAGCTGTGTACATGCGAGTCAGTGAACTAACGGAACTGTAGTGTCTGTCCTGGGGTGTTCAGGGGTGGAACTAAGTAGAAAGAAAGATAATTTGACCAGGTAATGACTCCATACCAACAGACCAGCCTCTAAGGCAGAATCCCTGAGGTCCCTTTAGGCCTGCATTAGTGGTGTCCATGCTTTCAGACTGCTGTAGTGGTGACTTCAGAAGTGCAAGCAGAGCAGGTATGTGACCTCAGTGGGATGGCAGGCTGTTAAGTCCTTGATGTGTCCCATAGGGCCATGGCAAAATTTCTTCAATAATGTCATGCAGAGGGCAGTGGACATGCCCTGACATGACTTAGCTTTCTGACCTTTGAGGCATAATGAAGACCTGCCTCACTACCTACCTCAAGTGACTTCAGGGAACAACCCTTCATAAAGCACATTTTCCGTTCTGAAATGAGTCAGAGGCATAACTTGTGTTGTGGTCAGTCTGGAATTTATGGGGGCCTAGGAACCTCCATATGATCATCCAACATGAGTGGAAGAGCACGACAGCTCCAAAGAGGTGAGACCCACACACTAGCGCTCGGTTCTCGGAAGATGCACTGAACGAGGGCGCAGCCACTACCAAACGCTGCGAGCCCGGAGCACCCCTCATGTCCGAGGTGCCGCTGCGGCAGTGCCCACGGCCCCTCTGCGCAGGGACCCCGCGGGCTGCAGGAGCGCGGGCACGGACACTTCGGGATACGGCAGGCGGGGAGCGCGGGGCGAGGACCGGGGCCAGTCTGGAGTTTTTGTGGTACTGAGAATCTCAGCCGCGCAGTCCCGCGGTGCCCCGCCGCCTCAGGGCGGGGAGCGGCCTCTCCGCCGCCGCCCGCCCGCTGCCCGCGAGGCGCGGCTCCTGCCCCTCGGGCCGGCTCCGGCAGCGCCCGCGGAGACCCGCGGCCGGCGGGGGGGGTCCCCGGGGTGCCCGGCGGCGGGAGGGGCGGGCGCTGCCGGTCCGGGCGCTGCCGGTGCCCGCCCTGCGGGGGGCACGCAGCCCCCGGCCCGCGGGCGCGGCGGAGGCGGCGGCCCGGCGTGCTGCAACCATGGCGACGGCGGCGGAGCCGGCCCGCCCCCCGCGGGGCCGGGCGGCGCGGGATTGGTCGGGGGGCGGGCGCTCGCCCTCTGCCCCCTGACCCTGCGCGGCGGCGGCAGCAGCAGGAGCAGGAGTGGAGGCGGTGGCTGCTGCTGCTGGCGGCCGTTTCCTGGTGGCCTGGCGGCGGCGCGGGAGGGAGGATGCGGCGCAGGTCTCGGCTGCTGCTCTGTTTCGCCTTCCTCTGGGTGCTGGGCATCGCCTACTACATGTACTCGGGCGGCAGCGCCGCGCTGGCCGGCGGCGGCGGCGGAGGCGGCAGGAGGAAGGTGAGAGCCCAGCCCGGGGAAGGTGCTCCCGCTCCCTGCCCGGGCGGCGGGGCGGCGCGGCCGGGCTGGGGGCAGCGCTGCGCGGCCCTCCGGCTTGGAGCAGGGGCGGCGGGGGGGCGGGGGGGGTCTCTTCACCGCCGCTCGCTTTCAGGCGGCGTGAAACTGCCCCGGGCTGCTCCTTCCCCCTTCCCGTCCGCCCTTCTCCAGCCCGCTTCCCGGAGGCAGATGGCTTCTTTGTGGACTTCAGACCGATTTCAGCCCCGTCGCGTCGCTCCTTATCCAACTGCGGCCACGTCCCGGGCCGGGGGAAGCTGGTGTGGGAAGCGAGGGTGGGGAGGGCCAGGGCTGCGCTCCGGGGCGGGGGGGCCCCGCCTGGCTCCGCTCCCGGCACAGAGCGGCTGTCTGCCCCTTCCTGCCTTCCCCGCCGGCACCGGAGTCCTTCGGGCTCGTGTTCCCACCTGGGGAACACGCGAGGATCCGAGGTGCTATTGCATTTTCCCTTTGGATGCACAGCACTTTCCTTTCTCCTTAGCGCTGTGCCTGAAGGATACCGTTTTCCGACCGGTTTTGCAATATTCCAGGAAATTGTCGGATTTGTCATGTTTTTTTTGTCTGTGGCGTGGAAGGTCTGTCTCTTCCTTCTTATAATAGCTCATGTTACAAGTGTTACTAATGTTCGAGAAGTTCCCTGCGGACAATACATGAGTAATTTTTCAGTATTCTGGCCATCAAGTTATTAAATAGGTTTTTCAAGGTCTTATAGTTAATTCATCGATCAGGAGCACAGCTAGAAGTTAAGCACGTCACAGTTCACGTTTGTGTCAATCAGAACGGGTTTTTGTTGCATGATGTGGGAAGTGGCAACTTTGCCCACTATATCTGCTTAGAAAAATTAAGTGCTTTTTCTTTTGTGGTGTTTCCCCCACAATAAAGATTAGCAAAATCAAGACTTTTAGAGACTGTTGTTTAAGCCTTTTATTTTGAAATATGGAAGGTGTAAAGCATCTCATAATTGCATATCTTTTTTACAAAAAAACCCCAGAATAGGGCAGGAGGGCAATTGAATGAAGTGCACTACACTTGAACAGTGTTGTTTGCTAATAAATTGCTGCCTCCTGTTAAATGCAAAGCAGTGTTTTGTAGGTCTAGCTGATATATAAAAAGAGGAATATTTTTTTGTTTCTTTGATGCACTTTGGTTCATCAATGTATGTATTCCCTGTAAAAAAATGCTGATGACTAGTTCCTGTGTCAGGTTGTGGAAGCAAGTACTTGGATGGCTACTTATGTGAGCAAGGGTCTAGAGAATGAGTCACTGCTTGCTGATAGTTGCCTCTCTCTGTCCTGTTTTTTATCCTCTCTCTACTTAGGAATGTGTTCAACAGCAACTTTTGATGTAATATATTAAAGTGAGTGTAAGTAAGTATTGCCACGTACAAGCTCCTGGTCCTTCAAAGTAGATACAGTAGCAGAAATAGATCAAGTATGTGATAGAAAGTAAGGCAGTAGCCTAAAGCCTTTCTTGAAGAACCACCAGAGTGTATTTAGAAAGTAATAGCAATCTTACACTGCTGCTGTATAATGGGATAAAGAAAAGCTATCAAGGAAAATGTATCAGCAGATAGGGAAATATATTTTTAACTCTTATGGTGTGTTACATTTGGAGCTTCCAGACAGATTTGCAATTCTGTTCAATTAATTTTTGCTGTTGGGAAAACTGCAGTGTGGGGGTAGTGATTTGCCCAAGGTCACCTAGAAGACTTGGTGGGAATAAAATAGGAAAGCAACCGGTATTTCTGGGCCAGAGTCTGGTATTTAATCTGCTAGAACCTGTTGCTGTTTATTTTTTATATTGGTAGTGGTTTTTATTATGGTTTTAAGGGATCAATGAACCCGTTACTTGCTTTGGTAGCATAATTTGGTATAATTCTGCACAAAATTTAGTAAACCTTACTAGTCTGAGTAATTGGGAAAGTTTAGTAAGGATAAGTTAAAGAAAATAAGACATTTCATAGACCTGAGCTGAAACCTAGTGCTGTGTTTAAAAATACAATAGTTTAAAGTAAGGCCATGGTGTGAAAGAAAGTAGGTACTATGACCACAAGAAACAAGTGGGGAAATTAACTATTATATGTGGATTGGTGATTTAGGATTCTATTTTCTGTCAGTGAAGCATAAAATTTAATCCCGGGCTTCAGTGTAGGTTAGCAAATGTAAGTAGAGGAAGATGTGTGTAGTGTAATAGCTTTTGAATCTCAATAAAAGGCTTATTAACTTAGTGTCAGACACTGGTGTAAAGCAAAAGAACACAAACTGTCTAAACTTATGAGCAGAAACCCTGACGTAGTAAATTTCTTGATGTGTATGACTTCATATCGTCCTTGTTACTTGCCCAGTATTTCAATGTAATGGAAGCAGAGTTGCTTATAGGAGAGCACAGCTTCTAATAAATTGCAGTCTCTGCTGTTTTCAGTCTATAAAATTACAAAAACCGAGAGGGAATAGTTCTTCATTTGTGTAAGTAATTTGCATGTTAATTACAGATCTGGTTGTATAAACAGAATGTGTTTTTCTATAAGGATTATCTTTTTCTTTTTTTTTCCCCATACACAGACCTAATGTGTTATTCAGACATACTGGACTTGTTTGATATGGCATCCAGTCCTGTGATGTGTTGAACAGCACCAATTCTCTTTTTCTTCAGTAGAATTGAAGGTGTTTGCCCTCTGCCAGGATTGCACCTGAGTAAGAGAAAAGAGTGATTTTTTTTTTTTTCTAATTTGCTTTTTCTATTAGAGTAGTGTCAGAGTTAATCTAAGTTCATGCTTATCTTGGTTCTTCATTTACAACCTTTCTAATAAGACCTGTGTAGCTGTTTGGATATTGCAGTGTATGGTACAGCCTTGATAAAGTTTTTGGCCCCTCTCAACAGTGGTGCAATCCACAGCTCTGTGTGCAGTATATTGGCCTGGTAGGGTCTAAGCAGTGAAAAAGTCTAAAGCACACAAAGCACAAGATGTCTCACTGGTAAATGTGTAAATAATAATGAAAAAAAAAAGTGTGCAATGCTTTTCATACTGGACCTAGGCATAAAAACTAGTAGAAAGAAGTGATGTATTCCACATCTGGAATCTAGTGTGTGACAACTTTTTTTTTATATCTACATGAAAAGAAGAAAAGGGTAGAATCAAAGCCTTTCATTCAAGATGTGCTTGAAGGGAACAGAAGTGTTTCAGGTTTCCTCCCCCTTCTTCCCTCCAGTGAATCTCCAGTCAGATTTTTTGTGAACATGAGAGAGCCATGTTCAGTTGACTCCTTTTCCAGCTGGATCATGGAGTTGTAGATTGGAAAGAGTGAGTCTGTTTCACATGCCTAAAGGTTAGGGAAATAGTTCCCACACAGATGCTGTGACAGAGAAGAGAGCAAGTTGTAAGCCTAACAATTGTGAGACTGAAAAAAAAAATGCAGTCTACTTTTATGTTCACTAAATGTGTTTTATATTAGAAAGCCTTTGGAGTGGAGACTGGAAGTTCCCTTATTTTCATGGATAAATTTCCTAAGCCAGAGCAAAAGCAGTTCATGTTCTCTGTCTCAGACTTGCATAAAAATGGAGCAGCTTCTGCAAGATGGTTTGAAAGCCAAAGTAATCCTTATGTGATTCCCTCCTAAGACTGGTGTGAATTTGTATATTTGTCACACAGATTTTAAGTTCTCGGGCCACTAAGCTCTTAGACAATAGAGGGACTGGATTGAAATCAAAAAGAAATTAAAAAACCCAATGCAACAAAACCAGCCAAAAACTCCAGCTGATTTCTAAAGAGCTTGCTCTTCTAGACATTAAGAAAGTAGCCTCATGTAACTGAGCCCTTCAGGCTGGACAGAAGGTGGGTCTGCATCTTGTTGAAAGTGCCAAATGCTTTGCTGCTGCCAAGAGTGAAACCCTCAGGGGCATCCCCAGAAGATCTGTGGGCAGAATGGATTTACTGATGAAAACTAAGGCATCCAGAGAGGCCTGCAGGGTTAAAGCACAGCTGAACCAAGGTTTATAGCCTTCTGGATTTAGGTGCCAGAGTACTGACAAGCTTTTGCATTTGTTGCCATGTAAAGAATTTCAGTTGCTTTTTAAGTGGAACCTCTGTCATCTTCCACCCTATCTAGAAGAGAAGGCTAAAAGCAGTATTTCAGCAAGGAGTGATGGATCACTTTCCCAGGTAGTTCGTAAATTCAGAAACATTTTTCTTTTTCATCAACTCCACCCCCTGAAAACCGAAACCCCAAACTGCCTTGAACTAGAAGGCTGTTACACTCTTGGCTCACCAGATTTACTGAGTGTAATGGAATGAACTGGAGAAATCTAATTTAGGGCTAGTTGGGCCACAAGGAGGCAGGCTTTTCCTGTAGAACTGGTTATTCTGTATGTAGTACTAGTTTTCCCTTCCCTTTTGTTTGTTTTGCTTTTTTTCTTTAATTTGGAGCAAACTTTAGATAGGCGACTGTACTGGAGCTAGCTGAGATCAAATAAAGGTAAAAGGTGATGCTTCATATAGAGTATGTGACTGATTAAAAATGTCTGAATCACTGGGTAAGGCAGGGGACAAAGAAGAAAGCCTTCTAAGTTCTTGTTCTGCATGTCTAAAACTTTAAAATTAGTCTTTTCAGCATACACAAAGCTTTCTTTTCCTGATTTTTTTTTTTTCAAACCCCTCTACTATTTCACTTACTGTTAAAGGAAGCTTTTGTTGACATTGTACATAATGACACACATAGCACTCTTCCTCTCTTTCTGCATAAACTACTGATTTAGTGTTCCTAAGTGTAGGGGTTTTTTTTGATGGTTTAATTGAGGAGGAAAGGAAATGTGTGTTAACTTCATTAATCTGTTTATGTGCAGCTTGAATGTTTCTCTTGAGGTATGTGAAACAAGGGGATTAAAAGTAGCCACTTCAACTCTGTTGGTTTCCTTCATCGCAGGAAGGCATTGCCTACTTTAATTTCTAAATACTGTTTACTTTGCTGCATACTTTTTAATGTAACTTTAGTCTCTTACGTGTTGTGACACTGAATGTGATTTCTGATACCTTGATCTTGGACAAGTGAAGATACCAGAGGTTAAAAAAGTCGAATTGTCATATGTCCTTTTCTGTATCATTCACTTCCTAGAAGATCCAAGGAGATAGAAAATAATGTTCCTTTCTATAACAAGTAACAGTTTCTGCTAATAGATCTTTCTTTTATATGATTCTGTAATAAATGGGAAAGAGATTAGATGGCCAGGCACTTCAAAAATAAATCTGTCCTCTCACTAGAACGTAAATGTCATACATGTATATTTTCTTAATCTAACATATGTCAATTGACAAAATTACTGTCTTGGCAATTCAGGCACTTATTTTTATGGATAACTTCATAAAACTTAACTTTGGTTGCAATGAAATGATGGTCCATTGCAAATTCTGTGCAGTCTCTTTAGGTCTGTAGCTGTATTGGGCTATTATCTTTTCCTCTCCTTTTTTAAATGCCTCAGTGAGGGAGTTTTTTTGCTTTTTAACAGTGAGAAATTAGTTCTTTGCTCGAAGACTTGTGTTGTCCCCTGCAATCTGCTAGGCTAGAAATTGATGACTGATACAAATGCTATGGCTCTTGGATTACTGTTTGCTGCTTGTTTCATAAATGCAGAAGTAGAGCAGGGCTGTAGATAGAAGGGGTTGGAGAAACAGGAGTGACTTCTTTGGTTGTTTAATATCAAATGGGGTAGTCAACCACCTTTCCCTATTATTTTTCCCTTTCATGTGGGTATTGTAGTAATTTGCTGTGTTTCTGTGTTATTCCATTGCTGCTGTGGTTTGCTGCTTTCTGGGATCTCTGTGTACCAAGGTTGTAAGTTGCAGTGATGTCCTTTGACAGATACAGTTTAAAAATTAGGTAGTCTACTAACTAATTGTGCACGTGCCTTACCTGTTTTTGTCCCATTAGTCTTGTGATTTGAGGTATATTGCAAAAAAATGCCAGTCATTTTTTCCATGTGTTCTAGACATTTCCAAAAATACAACATAAAAAGTGATATAATAGCACTTCTTAAAAATTTAGATAAGGCACAATATGAAGTGGAAAAAAAAATTACAAGATTCATCTCAATGATGCTGCCTCACTTGTTCTGTAGACCAACCTAGTATAAAAAATATAAACCCCGTAAATAAATCTTAGCAAACTTAATTCATAGCCTTCAAAATTACATGAGCATTCGACATTTTTTCCTTGGAAATCCTATTATTTTTTCCTCTTTTTTTTTTTGCCTGTCCTTTCCAGTTTTTCCATGTGATGTGTTATCTAAGTGCTTGTGTATAACTGATACTGTTTGGTTAAAATGATGATATATCAGATGAGAGAAGTAGTATTGCTTGCTAGAAAGCTGCTTGCAATGATACTCTACTAGAGAATAGAAGAGACACCTTTGTAATGGTGCTGAGTGTCCCAGCAGAGTGACCCTTGTTGCACCTAGAGGTTATTTAAAAATAATTCCACCAAGCAGCCTAAAAAATGGGTTTGCTTGGCCTTTGGCAGCTACATATAATTTAAAAATAATTTAATATACAGTACTTTTGGTTAAGTTAAATCAGTTTTAAAACTTTCGAATACAGATGATCCTGTGATCATCCTCAAGTGATAAATGTAAACTGCCCAAATTAAGTCAATGCAAATGATTTGTTTTAAGTTGATTTGTTCTACTTTTCTTAAATAGCCTACTCTTGACAGTAGTTAAGCTGTAGTGGTCCAAAGCAATATATAGCCAGGTGGTGTACAAACAGTTTTTAACTCCCTGCCCAACAGTAAAATCGTTACTAAATGTTATTTTTATTAGAACTTAGAAGATGTGTATTGCTAATATGTTGGCAATGCCATGTGTTGGCAAATCATTTGAATTCTAAAAATGAGCGTGCAGGAAGCAGTGAGGCATTTGCAATTTTTTCAGGAATATGGGGCTGAATGTCATTGCCCGAATATATCAGTATATTGTGGAAATGGAATATCAGTGTGGGTGTTACAGAAGAAAACGCTAGGAAGGTTGTTAAAATTACATATTGCCATCGTGTAATGCAAAGTGGTGGTATCTTAAGCTATATAAATTTTAAAACCTGGGTGCAGTCTTTCATGCTGTTTGTTTTGGAATAAGTTAGGTGCCCTCTTTTCTTTTCTGCTTTTCCCTTTCATTTAAGTTTTCAAAGGAATAAGGGATAGATTGAGGAGGGAAGATGGGGAAAAAAGTTAGTGTCCACATCAAAATATTTGGTTTGTGTGTTTAGGATTTTGAAGATACGATATAAGAGAATCTAGCTAACACTAGAAATTGAACCATTTCATGTTCCCTCTAAGTCTGTAAAGTTCTTTCATGGGAACCTTTGTATGGTGGGCCTTTCCTGATAGGTGGAAGTGGAGAAGTGGAGATAATGTCTGATGTTTTTCCTTTTCCTCCATTACTTGGAGAATGATTTTTTTTTTTTTTTTTTTTTTTTTTTTTTTTTTTTGGGAGACCTGTATCTTACCAACATACTCGGAGCTCAGGTAAACTCATGTTTACCTGTCGTCCTCCTACGTGTTCATTTGCCGTGTATTCTTACAATGAATTAAGCAGGCCTGCACTGTTTGTGTCACATGAAGTCAATAATGATCAAGAAATGGAAAAAAACTGGCATCTGTTTTCTTTTTTATAAACTGAATCCCCTGTTGGAATGTAGCACATTTTAAGCTTATATTTGGCTTATAGAGAGGATTTCTTTGTTTGTTTGAGTGTTTTTCTTGGATCTGTCACCTTGAATATTAAAAGCTGTTTTTCTTCTGCAAAGTCAAGGTAACTTGTTAATATGACTGGCTGCCAGTGTAGCCTGCTAAAATTACTATCAAGACTTTTTTTTTTTTTCGAGTTCACTTATCGTATGTCTAAACTGTTTTGTTTTTCCAGCTGTCCCTTTTATATACACTGGTTTTGTTAATTGTTCAGGGTACCTGTATTGTCGTTTAAACAATTTAAAATATGCTAGTTCAACTGACAGGAGCACATTTGTGTAAGGGGACTGTACAGACAGATGTGGATTTTGAGCTTTGCTTATGAAATTCAAATGGGAAAAGAACAGGATAGTAAAAGAACAGCAAGTTTGAATTTTAGAGCATTCCATATATCTCTGAAATTGCTATGTAGTGCACATCAAAGGCAATAATTTGGATTTCTCTTCTTTGTAACTGTGGTCTTGTATGGAAAAAAGAGCCTACTGAAAAGGTTGCAAGTTCAGTTGTTAATAACTTTGTAAGTTGTAAAATTGTCATAAAACCTGGGTGCTTTATTAAGGGAAGCAGGGAATAACTAGAGATTCTGCTGAGTTCAAGCGTTATCAAAGTGCAATGGACCGCCTGTACTGAGTAACAGATCTGCTCAAACAAAAAAACTTTGGCCAAGGAAAGACTATGCAAAGAATTGGCACCCAGCTAATGCTATTGTGTATGAATTCTCAAAGAGCTATGACTTGATGAGCAGAAAATGTTTTCTCCTTGTAGTAAGTTCCAAGTGTTTAGCCACCCTGGAGATATAAGCACAGCTGAAACTTGTTACTAAAATAGATTTTTTTTTTTTTTTTTTCCTATCTGGCCTGTTGGTTTGCAGATGGTCAATAAATACACAAGTGTGTGTATATAATGGATATATACTTCGGTGAGGTGAAGGTATTTAAGTTGCTTGGTTTTTCTTTTCTAGCTTCTCTTATGTGAAATAGAAAAGTCTGTTCACTCAAGTTCACTTGGACTCTCTTGGGACATTTTCTCCTCATGAAGTGCTTTATTTACTAGCAAACTGCTCCCGACTAACAGTGGACCAGCTTAGATACTTAGAGGTTACCTTGTTCCAATATTGGGAAACATCCCTATGGCAAAACCCCTGCTATGATAGGTGTGCCTACCAAGAGTGTGGGAGTGCTGGAATTGCAGTATCTCTCTGCTGGATTGTGTAAGCGTGTCACCACATTAGGTCTGCAGATGTTGTCCAGACAGTGTAATAAGTTCTTGTTATGGTGTGGCTCTTGCTACAGTGGAAGGCCAAAGTCCTTCTGGTTACTGTGGCAGACTATCCATCAACTACAGCCTTGGCATTATGTGGGTGGAGCAAATAAGGGCTGGTCTTTAGTCCTCTGACTTGTGCTCTCAAAACACAATGTGTTACTTTGCCAGCAGCCACTGAAATGATGATGTTCTGTGTCATTTAGCCTCAACAAACATCAAACTGACTGTTCCACCGTGTGGAATAGTTACAACGCATATACACTATGTTAGTGACTACTTTTTCGAGTTTTAATTGAGGAAATGTTCTCTTTTTGTCTCACTCACACAGTGTGTACCTTTCTTTTAGTGTACTCTGAAAGTGCTGTGGGTGAACAGTAATTGTAGCAAGTGCTGAAAGGACCTGGTAAGAAAGTTGGACTTTGGTTCCTAAAAGAGCAGAGAGTCATTCTTAAAACCTCTTAAACGGATAGATGTCTATCAAAGACAATGTCCCGACCACATATGCTAAGCAATGTGCTTTCTGTTAAGAAGTACATCTTAAGAATTCACAGGTCTTGGCAGTTAAATACTTCTTTCAGACTCCAAATGCCTTTTAATTTAAGTGAAAAGTAGCGGGCAGTGGGCTAGCAAACATCAGTGCTTCATTATATTCTTAGTTTTCATGCTTAATGTTCAAAAAGTGGTGGAGAGACTTGACTTATTTGTACAGCAAGAAGTGTCTGAAGGCACTTTTTTTGAGGAAACTTTTCTTCTCTGGAGAGATGTAAGTGCAAGTGCTGTTTAGCCTGGTAGATTCTTAGAGGAAAAATTGAACTGAGTGAGGTTGTTGATACCACCCTTGAGTTACCACAAGACTTAGAAATATGTTAAGGCAAAGTGTACACTGATCAGAGAATTAAAAAAAATTTTGAAAGACTACTCTGCAGTCTGGACTATCAGGTTTGGTAGGTGAAAGGCTTCATAAGAATGCAGTATTTCTTGTTAAGGTACAATTTCTCTATTATTCCCAATACTTTCTGAATATTCTCTAGTAAAAATAAGCAAGAGATTGATTTTGATGTTCACGTTAGCCTAGACCTAAAATATGTCTTTTTATACAAAGCAAAAGCTACTTGCTTAAAAATCCATTTCAGTTACCTACTGAGATAACTAATGCCTCTTGCATCCTGGAAACAATAGTGAGAAAATCAAGTTCTTAAAATCAGCGTGCAATCACTAAATATTCTATCTCAGGCTATGTAGGGAACCACATCTAGTGTCTAATGTTAGTGTGGTTGGTGCTGACCTCTTCTAAAACCCTCAGTTCACATGTGTTCAGTTTGGTTTAGAATTGTGATATTGTAATGTTTATTTCCAAGAACATCTTGCAGCTCAGAGGCAGTTTCCAACAGTTTGGAAATGTCATGGTATTTGTTCAAATTAATTGTAATAGTGGCTGTCATCTCATGATGTTATTACCCCAATTTCTGAGATAAGTTTCCAGTGTGGAAGTATGGAAGAAAATGAATGTAAAAACTGCTTTCTCAATTGTGCTTTGAAGTTTTTTATGTTTTTTAAGGAAACTTTTACTTGAATGATTTTGTAAAATCTTGTAGAGATTTTTAAAACTATGTTAAGAAGCGTTGGTTTTAGTACATCCAGTTTGTGATGAAAGGCAGTTTTTAATGTTGAATAAGCAAGGTGTTGGGTGCTGGTGGATGTAGGTACTTGTTAGTTTTCTAAGATATTATCTTATTTTAAAAAAGATGTGACTAGTAGAGCTTAAAGAGAGCCCCACTGTACTTAAGATGACAATTTCTTGTAAAATATTCCCCA